AAAAAAATATTAACCCCCCAATATCTTTCAGATGAATGGCCGTTTTTTTATGTACAAATTTACATATTCACAATTATTTACACGTTATTTACAGTTATGGTCATGCCAGGCGACCGGACGAATGGATTGCAACGGATAGACTTTCACTTATATCTATGAATCGACTGGTTTCTTGTGGTCTTCCCGATGAAAGCCATCTGAAGAGGTAAGTATGCATGTAATATTCCAGTGATTACACTTAACAATAGATGAAATCAAATAATTATCTCCATATTGTCTTGGCATTTGCCGAACAAGATTTAAATTCGGTTTTAATGCTTAAACGTATGCTCCCAAATGTCCAGGTTTTAGAAACAGTCATTACATGTAATTTACTTTTGTCAGTCGTTAATCCTGCACGACACTTATATGCCTCCGACATTGAGGTAGATTGACCCAAGCTTTTGGGTGATTCAAAACTGACAATTTCACGTTGTTTTTTCAGCAACATTGACGGAGGCAATGCGGAGTGATCCTCAGAATCACATGAATCACCTCGCACACGGGGTGCTGAAAAATGAGTCGCAGTTATTCACCATGAAATTTTAACAGAGTTTGAGGGTTGTTGCAAATATGAAGAGTACTTCGGAAAAAAAGTTCTCCACTTCATAGGCTGGAAGGTTGTTTCTGTGGGAGAACAAACTAAAAAAATTTTAAAAACTTAGAATTTACATTAAGAATGTGTTCGGATCAATTGGGAAAAATTCATTCTTGTTATTTCATTGGCGATTTTGCTTTCTGTTTTGTGAAGGCAGAGGAGATGTTTCAAGTCTTTCATTCAGTGATATCATTATGGATTAATGAGTACGTTTGAATGAAATGAAATCGGGAATTTTCTAAATCTATTGCATTGTTGCTTACACAATGCAGTTGAATGCGTGTGAGATTTGTTTTGTTTTCAGTAGCAATTAGTATGGTGGAAAAAGCCATTTACGAATGTGGATTCCAGAAAAAAATCTACTGATTTTTCTGAGCGATCATTGTTTGACCGCACTGATATAAATTATGCTACGCAGTAGAATTTCTAAATTTTCTCATTTGAAGATATTAGAATTTTTATATCTGCTATATCATTAGAAGACTGGAAGGAAAGTGTTCTAAATTCTGATCGCCCAGCTCAAAATTTGCAAAAGCATTTGAAAAAGGTCTGAAGGGAATGGTGCGCTTCAGAAGTCACCAATGGTTATGTGGATTGTGACACTGCTATTTATGCGTTTTTCGTTTTTTGATTGGTTGGTCCGACTGAAATGTAACGTGATGTTTACTCAGCGTCCATAAGATGTCATTCCCATCCCATAATAAATATTTTCGAATAAAAATGATTGATTGCAAAACATTAAATTTGAGTGTTTTGTGCAGTATTGTTTTCACTCGACCAAAATACTAAATATACAAAGCGAACAATGCGAATCATTTAATTCTCCAAATTATTTATCAACATCCTAATTTCGACTTTGTTTCATAATTGTTTTCACTTTCTGTAATCATCGAAATGCATCAGGTATTCTCTGAAAAATTCACACAGTAAACGCTTGTAATTAAAATCACAAAGACAACCTGTTTTAGGAACATTTGATTAGTACAAAACGATGAGTTGATTGGTTTATTGTCGTAGGCATTAAAAGAGCTACTTATTTCTAGATCGAGTACTTTCAGAGATGTGTTCACGCTGAGTGGATATATTCATTTGAAGAATATTCCAAAACGGCTACTGTATTTGCTTCTATAAGCGTTTCAAAACGTTAGCTTATCAGTTTGATTGAAGCATCGTATGACAATTTTTTGTACGGGAAAAACGACCGTCATAAACCATAATCTGGCGCCAGTCATACTTAATTGCTTTCATTAAGCTTTTGATTTTTGACTTTGAATCTTAAATCTTCAGTTTGATATTATTTTTAATTTGAGCGAACCGATGATATTTTTTCATTCACTGATAACAGCTGAACAGTAAAAAGTTTTTTTTGAATATTGTCTCATCAATTAGTTTTCTTTCACTTAAATATTGAAAATTTATGTTTTGAAAATTTTTCGACAATCGTCGCAGTGAACAAATGCACATAATGATATCAATCATTCACATCGATTATAGCAATAAACTGTTGAACCAACACTTCAATGATATACGTTTATTTATACGAAAATCAAAACTCTTGTCGAATGAGCAAAATCATGAACGTAAAGAAATACACGAAACATGCACAACAATCATCAACTGAAAGCTGCTAAATCCCTTCTTGCCTCCGTCAACTTGATTGTCATTTATCGAATATGCACCAGTCTCCTCTCGAGCGCTTTTGCCACTAAGTGATTTCAATTGTTGTACAAACGTGTTTCTCATACGGGAAAATCCTCCCTCAGGAGGGTGAAAGGATTTTGCGGTATCAGGCAAACTAATATTTTGTGAAGTTGTTGTGTAGTGACGAAACATTATTGTGATGGTGGTTTTTTGCTTGGGTGTTTAAACACTGTTTGCTCATGGCAACACCCTTTCCTTTCATCAATTTTCTGATTGTGAGTATCTTTAGATTGCCTATGCCTGAACAAAAAAACAGTTTTCGTTAGTCACGAGTATTTCGTAATTTCAGCAACACATTCTAGCACTAAGTGGCTCGTTTCATACCTAATCGTAAGACATTGAATCGACAAACTCATCGTTTCGTAATAACAACATGCTCCTAACATTGATTGTTTTTTTTGTGGTTTCAGTTACAAGCATTCTCTGTACGAATTTTTTCGAGAATATATGATGCATTTCGATGATCACAGAAAATTGAAACAATTCTGAAACAAAATCGAAATTAGAGTGCTTATGAATAGTTGAGAAAATCAGACGATTTGTATTGTTTGTTTTACAATCTATAAACGGTATTGCACGTAGCTGTTAAATTGCACGTTTCGTTATCAGTCATTTTTATTCGAAAAAGTATTTTGAGATGGGAATCGATCTTATGAACGTTAAGTAAACACCACTTTAAATTTCAAGTGAAAAGAAAAACGCATAAATAGCAACATCTTAACTGCTCGTCACCATACATGTAACCACTCGTGACTTCTGCAAGTGCACCCGTTCACTTCAGACCTTTTTCAAAGTGCTTTCACATTTCTGACCTGGACAATCATACATTGAAACTTTTCTATTAGTCTTCTGACGATTAGCAAATTTAGGAATTAGGTTATATGAGTACGGTCAGGCAATGATCGTTGTATTGACAAAATGGTATTATGAATAATCAGTTGATTTTTTCATTGGATCCACATCCGTAAATGAACTTTTCTGCGATACCGTTTGCTAGTGAGATCAAAACGCGTTCTGCACGGATCCAGTTGCATTGTGCACAAGACAACGCAATAGATTTAGAGAATACCGGATTTCTCAAGATATATACTAGTATAACTGAGTGAAAGATTCGAAGTATCTCCTCTACTTTCAGGAACAGGAAACAAAGTCGCCAATAAAAAACAACAATGAGTACACTCCCGGTTGATCCGAAGAGATTTCCAATTCAAATACGTAAGTTTCTGATTGCTCAATTTATTTTTCCACACAAACAACATTTGAGTTTATGAATTTAAGACCGACCATTTTTCTCCTAGGGTACCTCACATTTGCAAATTTCAAACTCTGTTGAAATTGCCTGGTGAATGAATGCAATTCATTTTTCAGCACCTCGTCAGCGAACTGAATCGTGTACATCTGAATCCTCATCGGTTCCAACACAACGTGAACGTAGATTTTCACTCACCGAAATGCTTGGTCGACGTACCTCAGTTTCGGAGGCTTATAAGCGTTATGCAGGATACACGACTCACGGAGGTATTTAACACCTATTGGCTCATTC